TATATATATATTCTCGTAGAATTAATAAATTGGGACAATGAGACCACAAGTCAGATGGAGATCAAGAAACCGCAGATATACCTTGGAGCAGTTGAGACGGTCTGAATATTTATTGATTTGAACTGACTATCTGTCGGACCTCACCTTCACGCACAATTCTCAGTTTAATCGATTCAACCATACACTCGGAAGCACTAGGCTCGAGTTTCGCTCTTATTAGAGCTCATCAGCGGTGTGTAGCCACTGTCCTGCCTGAGATTTGAACTCCCATCGCATGGAAGGCGTGTGCGTTACCACTGTTCCAACCAGCTCATGCCATGGTTTAACTGACAATCACTGAAAACGACACCTGAACAAACATGAATTGGCAATTTGGTTCAGCCATGTTATGAGCTGGTTGTAACAGTGGTACGCACACGCCTTCCATGCGATGGATCCGGAGGTCAAATCCCCGACGGGACGGTGGATATGCACTACTGATGAGCTCTAATAAGAGCTAAGCTGGAGTCTAGTGATTCCGAGTGTATGGTTGAATCGATGAATTGAGGATTGTGCTTGAAGGTGAAGTCCGAATGATAGTTAGTCCACATTAAAAAATATCAATTATCCCGCATCACTACTCACAAGTAATTGAGTTAAATGCGAACGGTCTGAATAGTTCTTTCAACCTGGACTCTGCGAAATTACTCTGTCACACAAACAAACAAGCGACATAAATTAGTGATTCTTGTGCTGCCTCTGGCTTTATAATAGAGCTGAACTGTATATCTGTGAAGTGAGCTTTTTTCTTCGGGGCGTCTGCATATGAAGTTTCCGAGGGGCATTTAAGTGATTCTGGCAAGGGAAAATACCGAGTTAATTATTTTTTATACTAGTCTTGTGTATTCCTCATCTGTATGACCATTATACAATAACGCGTGGTTATTTTTATCATCTTTCAAGTTCTAACGTAGATATTTCACTACCCCACACTGGAAAAATTAATCACATGTTTGAAACAAAATTTTAGCGGTATTATACAGAATTTCTCCGATTTTTATCATAACCCTGGTAACAAATATTCTTATCCCTGTATAAATACCAATAGTATTTCGCAATATTTTTATCTGGAATAGGAGATCTTTGAAAACCAAATACACATTTTATGAAGAGGCAAGCTGGATGTTGCGTAATCGGAATGCTCACATTTCTGTTCATATTTGTATGCAGAAATACGGCCGACAAGTTTCTCCACACATGAATCCGATCCACCGAGATGTTCAAATTTTTCTCTTGACGAATAATGTGCACATCATGCCACTGGTCGTCATCTAGCAGACTACCAGCATCAACCGTGTTGTCCGTTGGTTCATCAGACCAAGGAAGGGTGCCCAAATTAATATTTACACGCAAACGACCCCTGTGAGCAGAAGAGGAGAAAATTAGTTATTATAAACAATTCGATAATTCTAATTTGCAAATCTTTGTTTTACTTCATATGTAAAATGTCAATCTGATGATATTAGCTGTATAAATGGCAATCAGGAAATGTTGCGATTCTCAGCTTAATTTTGTGTCTCGCCAAAACTATCATCGAACCTAGTCTCTCGATTCGTGTCCAGACGACCGCGGTTAAAAGATAGTTGCGAACAATGCAAGTCTTTATTGGTGGTTCCAGCCAAACGTAGATTGAAAAAGGGAGAAAAGTGCGCTCTACACTTTCGAGTCAAGTGTTCGGAATCGGGATTACGAGGGCACCGATCAAGAGCATGCACAAACCACATTGCCTTTCTGTTCCTTATCCCGATGGCTATGTATCCAAGACCCTCGAGAAAACACCGACAGGTTCTCACTATGGCGGCTGATCTCAATCCCTTTCATATACAAACTGCAAGAATTCTCAGGTCAAAGTTAGGCTTACACTGACATAAACTCATGTGTGATTGGATTCTGGTGATCGTCCGTACGTCAGACTTATATAATTTTGTCCCGTTAGTCGATGGTAGTATAAAATTACTTCCAGGGGCCTAGATCCAAAAATTCTGTAGTTGGAAACGGCAAATTAATTCCCTTAGCTACAAATTGATGACATAAATAACGTTCAAATAAGTTAGCAGAGATCTTAATTCGGCTTATTCTGTTAATTAAAATTACGTGTTCAGGGATATTGTCTAAATTGCTCGACTATCTAAAAGGCGAATGATAAATGATCGGCCGGTGGAAGTGATCCCTACTATATTTAACATTTATGTTATTCATTTTACAGCTTATTACAGGGAAGCGAACTTCAGTGATCGCTGCCAGACTCGCACTGCATACAAGGTAGTTGAGAATATGTAAGGAAGATAGGGATTTGACTTACTTTTAGGGATAGAAAAGAAAGCAAACCTCTTGGATAAACACACAGCGAACACAGTTCAACTGTGCATACGTACTAACTCAAGCATTCCGGTATGATAAGAAGTGACAACAAGATTTCCATTGCTGTCGGCTTGCTGCCATAACCTTCAGTGTCTCCAACCGTGCGGTTTCGGATTCTTTTGAACTCCATCCCGGAAGACGAGAGACACTTACTCTACCTAATCGCTTTGTGCATTTCTTCATGCCTGATCTCCACGTCATCTGCTGGCCTCCATGTGGCTTTTCCAGCTTGTAAAAGCTACTGCAAATAAAACGCGCTGCTGTCTGTCGGACAAACCGAGTCCTAACCAAAGGAGCCTATCGAGCTCAATGCGATGCGATAGCGATTTCTTGTTCGATGCATTCCCAAACCATCGACGGCTTATTTATAAGTTACTAACCCGCTCACTCCATCCCACTTGGGCCAGACTACGTAGGCATCAATTGTCTAAAACCACTAAGCAACAAATGTCTTTCACCCGCATATTCAAGGTCTCACAGCCGTAAAGCAGAACTCAGCATACAGTGGGGCAGTAAACGCGACTTTTCAACTTCAGTGAAACGTCAAGTCTATGCGACAGGTGTTTTAGTCCTGCGTAGACCGCTCGAGTCTTGGAAATGCGGGCGGTTATCTCCTTTGATGCGCTATTGTCGTTGGTCAAGCAGTTACCTAAGTACGAGAAGCAGTCAACTTCAGCTAATTCCTGACCGTCTATTTTCAGAACGGAACTCGGGGATACCTAGTCTTGAAGCATCGCTTTCCACTTTGGAGGCGCAAAGCATATGCCGAACGGAACAACAGAGCTTCCTAATCTGTCAAGTGCTCTTTGCGCATCCGCCATAGATTCAAACAAGAAAAGATGTCGTCGGGGTAATCCAAATCACACAACTTTTCACCTGCTTTTCATTCAATACCTGCATTTTGGAAACCACTTGATGCGTTCTCCAGTATTTCGTCTATGACGAAATTGAACAGGAATGACGAAAGAGGGCACCCTTGACGAACATCGGTTCTAGTTACGAACGACCTACTCAGCTGGCCGTAGGCCCTTACGCTGCCAGAAATATGCGAGTGGAGTGACCTCGGTATGTCCATATACTTCTGCGCCATTCCTTTGCAAAGGAGCAAACCCATGAGGGATTCACGATCAACTGAGTTGAAGGCTCCTTTCAGGTCATTGAACGCGACAACCGTTGGTCGACAGTGTGTTACTGTAGTTTTCAAAAATAAACACCAAAGTTTCATCAACTTTTGAAGGAAAATAGTAGCAAGTTTAAAGGAATAAAAGTAAACCAAGAAGGTAAAATACTTTTGTGAGATTTTTTGCTCTCTTATCGCAGTTTTTCTCATTGTATTTCTACTTTCACTGAGCATATTATGTCATCAGCATTTATGCGTGAACTTTCGATAATCTTCACTCTCCTTGTGTTCACTCTACTGCTTCATTTTGAGAACTGATTGTGAGTGGACACAATTACAAACGAATGTTTTTTCGTACAAAAAGGTTATATATATATATATAAGAAAGAGTTGTCTATCTAAAAGTCTTCCGGTGTAGCAAACAAGGTTATTGTGACGAAAATACACTTCCCGGTTACAACTATATGAATGAACTGACAAAAGATTACCGGATACGCATGCCTGACGAGCGGCAAAGAACCGTAAAATCGGTCTTGTGCTTCCAGGGAAATTTCGTCGTTATTCACATGCTGCTTATTTTTATGGCGATTTTGAAACGTTCAGTAACCGCGATGGGATTCGAACCCCTGCATGGACGCCGCCTACGCTTTGTACGCGCACGCTCTAAGAGCTGAGCTGCGAGGCCACACCGATAGCACTGATCTTTTCACATTCGAATTACCCATCCAACTTACAGAGGCATATGACATCCACCAGTTAACAGGCAAACTGACTGCCCCAACAGGTTTTCCTCAGAATTTACCGGAGTCCACTGAATGAGCTTCTAACAACAAACAATAATTTGAACAATACTACTTATTATGAAATATATATACATACACACAAAATTGTGCGTTATCACTGTCAAGTTAGTTTCTGTCAGTCCGCATTTTAGTTATTTTCTGTCCTAGTTACGGGACGGAATACCACCGCGTTGGAATCCTTCGTCACATCAAAAACTGATTACTACAACTGGAATGGAGGTACACTTTGCCAAACATCGACAGCCGCAAGCTGAAATCCTTGGACATTCGTGCTGATTCTATGACAGTAGCAGATTTGTGAGAGAGTTATTGTTTATGAAAAGCAGTATCGTATCACCCGGAGTACTCTNNACAAGAAGGCCATAGATGATTATATCAACAAAGGAATGGCATTACTAGTTCTGTTTAAGTTGCACTTTTCATCTCTCCATCGGAAAGAAATGGAAAGACCGCCAGAATATTCAGTAATAACTGCGTTACAGTTATTCACTTCCTCAAATAAACGAGCTATTTGAAACGGGAAGCAGTGAACACACCTCATCAGTTTTGGGCTTAAACTTTCCCTGAAAGTTAGATCTTGAAGTTATACTTTTGTCAATTTCGACGATGAATTCAGTGGATTTACTACTTTAAACAGAGCATTTTACCTATTTCGACAACTTTTGCCTTTGATTTACCTTTGGTTTTTGTCAGAATGCAATGAAGTCTATAATACCAGATTTTAAAAGTGCATCTGTTTAGCTGGATGACGCATTTTTCAATGTATCAACAAAAAAACTACACACAAGCATTTTAAGTCGTTACTGTAACGACTAAATATTCCTAAAATTGTTATCAGTCGATAAGTCTCATATCTCAAAACTTCATATCTGAATAAGGTCGTTGACAGACAGTTTTATCTCTGAACCCCATCATTTTCCGCCCAGTTGGGTGTTTCTTCTCATTTCGGTACAAGGCAATATAGTAAAACTAACTTCACTGATTGCTACCGAACTCATCATTCATATGACTTAAGCAAAGAAGTTTAAGGAAGATGGGGACCAAGTCTATTTGGAGAGGGCAGTAAAAGAAAGTGAACCTCTACGGTCAACACAGATGACACAATCCAACTGTGCATACACACTATTTCGAGCATTCTGGTCTGGTAAGAAGTGACAATAAGAACGCCACTGCTTTCATGCTCATTAGTGGCTTCAAACTACCAGTTATGGAGTCTTTTAGACCCAAAACCACAAGACAAGGGGAACTTACTCTAACTAATTGTTCCGTGCATTTTGATTCCTATTCTGTCCTCTCGAGCTATTTGAAGACTCCCATCACCGAGGGGCTCCGTGGTACTATTTCAGATGTGCTTCAAGTTTATTTTTTGGAAATGAATAACTGCCTTCTAATTTTTCTCACCGTCGAGATTTTAACTAGTGTAACTTTTAACGAGTTTTTATGTCTCCTTTGTAATCCATGACAATTTATCTTCAAGTTTATTGTGGCGGTGATACATTAATACAGCACCGCTTAGCAGTAAAATTCTATTAAATCTATCATTATTGAGCGAAACGATTCCACACTATCACTTCAATTGCCATCACAACTAACTTATTGGTCATCCACCTGTTATACGAAGGCAAATCAAATACATATGCAAAGTACGCGGAACTGAATGAATTAAATGAGGTGAGCAGTAACAATGACATTTACAACATCAAGCCTCCTCAATTGTTATTTTCAGTACCATGAACCCCAATAAAAAACCAAAACATTAATGAGTCCGTAAACTACTAAACTTAATAAAAGGGCATATGCGAAATGCTCCTCAATGCACAATAATCAAAAACTACACCATAATGAAGTTAGTAAATGTCAACCCCTGACGTATCAGCAACCTAGAAAGTTTTGTTAATGACCGGAACGTTAAAATTCATTCCTCTGAAAAGTTTTCTTCGGTTCACTGATAAAACAATCATGCAAAGAAATTCTCACCCTTTGGATTTTACTACCTACCTGTAGAGTTCGACGCAAAAATAGTCATGTTGACTAGAGTCGCCATAGAGCAGCAGACCATTTACTTCCTTTGTGCGAAAACGCAGGCGAACTTCATCAACTGCCGTCTGTACAGCTCTTCCAGGAAGATCAAGTCGCAAATCAATCCAGCTTGTACCGTCAAAATGAGCAATAAATGGGCCTAAAGAAAATCAAAAATTGATGTATACTCACGGTACTCGCAACCAAAAAGCTCCATCCTAAGGGCAATCAAATCGTGCCATCTTTGAGGATTCAATCTAATATATCGAGCAACTATTGGATAGGAAAAATTGTTGATTTTCACGCTATTGTCATCTATATTTCCATCAAAAAGCTGCAAATAAGAAAGGATGAAAACATTATCTTACCAAAGGTTGGCCCATGTTGTCTTTTACTATGGACCAATAAACTGGAACATCGTCGTCTGTATATTGTATATAGTAATCTTGTACCCATTGCCTTGCACCTTGTTTGCCTTGAGTCGCTATGCTGGTTACCACTTTGCGTTTAAGAAGATCAATTTGAATCCACTGCTTGTCATCCTGATCCAAGGCAACCCAAGCACCAGCCCCTTCTATAAAACCAGCATGATCCACTATTCAAATACTGCAACTTACGCAGCGAACTATCAAAGAGGAAGGCTTAATAATGGTCAAAACATTTATGAATAAATAAATGAGATACTACCATCAGATATATGCAGTCGTCCGTAAAAAGGCATTGTTTGGTCGGAGAATGACGATGATGCCGTTATCTGTTCATCCTTGATTCCGTTGAATCGGTCTGTCATTCCGAGGGGTACGAACGGAAAGAAATCGCATTTCTCTAAAATTTAAAAATAAACAGTCTTTGTGAGTAATTCTATTTATTATGCTTCTAGTATAGCCAACTGACCTAGTTAATTCACAGATTAGCAACGATGTATTGTCAAGTTAAATGGGCCAGTGTACAATGATGCAGTCTTAGTACTATTCGAGTCCCCTCGTAACGATACCTTATCAGCCGTATTTTTCGATTAACATCAGGTGAATGAATTTCTCTTGAGTTTTCTTTGGGGTGTGAAATGACATGTCCGTGCACGAATTCGACATCGATTGGCCTTGAATAAAGATTAATCTGCCTTATGTATATATAAATAGGGATGAGACAGGACTATAATGTGGTTCCATTGACGGAACAAATTGGAGCATCACAGTCATAAGGCTGATACATTCAAAAGCTATCAAAGCGCATCGAAAACGTTGAAACTCGATTACGCAAGAAAGAGGACTCTCGTTTGTATCTGCCGTTGGTGCACTGAACATACCGGGGTCATTACTAATACAAAATAAAATTTTGCATCAATGCTGATCAGCAATGATCCAAGCAGTACCATGGTACACAGGTGAATATCCCCTTGAATACTGCTGAAAATGTACTGCGCTCCTGTGATGTACCTTTTGTAAATTTATATATGATATCATATATGCTGCCGGTCTTCAATGCATTTAGGAATATTTCTCTTCTTTGTTTGAACAATCGAAAACTAAACCGGTTTGAGTCGTTTTCGGTTATCCCGTGTTATTTTAGTCGAATTTTGATGGAAGATAAATTATTCTTTCGAAAGATTAATTTCGAAGCATCGCAGGTGAAAGATCTAGGGGTTCTTATGACCCAAGACTTTAAACCCTCAACTCAGTGTGCCA